TTGTGTTTGTTTGTGTGCAACTGCAACTCAAGCAAGTTTCCTCCCTGCACTGTGACCATCGGCAGTGTAAGTAAAGCTTTCTTTGTAAAACCAATACGCTTCCGTGCCTAACTCTACTCCGTCGTGGAAAAACCCCACCTGACGGTCCGGGCTACTGGCCATAGCCTCAGACCGACCCTCGGTCCCGACAGGAAGTTGGTTCCAGATCCTAGCTGCCCTGACAGTGAAGTAGCATCTCCTGATACCTAGCCTGAATCTACCCTCTGCCAGCTCGTGACTGTTATTTCTTGTAGTGCTCAGGGGAACAGGGACTCCTCCAGTGCCAGCTGGTCCCCCCTGACTAGTTTGTAAATGGTCACTAGATCCCCCCCTCAGCCTTCCCTTGTAGAGGCTGAACAGGTTCAGGTCCTTTAGCCTCTCCTAGTAGGGCCTGCCCTGCTGACCCCGGATCATGCGGGTGGCCCTCCTCTGGACCCTCTCCATGTTGTCCACATCCCTTCTGAAGTGCAGCGCCCAGAACTGGACGCAGTACTCCAACTGCAGCCTGACCAGTGCCGCATAGAGGGAGAAGATCACCTCCTTGGACCTGCTTGAGATGCATCTGTGGATGCATGACAAGGTACGGTTGGCCTTCCTGACCGCGTCCCCACACTGTCGGCTCATGTTCATTTTGTCATCAATAATGACTGCAAGATCCTTTTCTGCCTCTGCACTGATGAGAATGGAGTTAGTATGCTTCTGGTTCTTTGTCCCCAGGTGCAGTACCTTGCACGTGTCAGTGTTGAAACCCATCCTGTTCTCATCTGCCCACCCCTGTAACCTGTCCAGGTCCGATGGCAGCCTATTCCTCCCTTCTAGCGTGCCCACTTCTCCCCACATCCTAGTGTCATCTGCGAATTTGAACAGGGTGCTTTTACCCCCTTGTCCAAGTTGCTGATGAAGATGTTGAACAGTGTGGGCCCGAGGACTGAGTCCTTCGGAACCCCACTGCCCACGTCCCTCCTGAGGGGACTGTGGGCATTGCCTTTTGAAGTTCCATGGGAAAGAGGAAACTAGAGATGCACTGATACATCGGTCTTTATTGTATTGGCACTGATAAAAAGGGAAATTGACATTATTGGCAATCATTTTTTGAATGATTGGCCGATAATGTGGCTGATAAATGCCGCTTGTAAGGATGCAACCACAGCATGCACCTGGCCAGCCTGGTAGCTTAGAGAGAAGCATCCAGTTGGTAAGTCTGCTGGAGAAGAAGGGGAGTGGGGGGCAGCATATTGAGGCCACTGTGGTGAGGGTGGGAGCGTGGGTGGGGCAGGGGTAGGCGCTACCCAGCTGGGGCAGGACGCGAGACAGAGCTACAAGTGCATCCAGTTCTGGGCGCTGCACTTCAGGAGGGATGTGGACAACATTGAGAGGGTCTAGAGGAGGGCCACTCGCATGATCAGGGGGCAGCAGGGCAGACCCTACAAGGAGAGGCTAAGAGACCTGAACCTGTTCAGCCTCCACAAGAGAAGGCTGAGAAGGGATCTGGTGGCCGCCTATAAACTGGCCAAGGGGGACCAGCAGGCAATGGGAGAGTCCCTGTTCCCCCGAGCACTACTGGGAGTAACAAGGAATAACGGCCATAAGTTGATGGAGAGTAGATTCAAGCTAGATCTCAGGAGGCACTACTTCACAGGCAGGGCGACTAGGATCTGTAACCAACTTCCAAGGGAAGTGGTGCTCGCTCCTACCCTGGGGGTCTCCAAAAGGAGGCTAGATAGACACCTTGCCGGGGTCATTTGACCCCAGCATTCTTTCCTGCCCATGGCAGGGGGTCGGACTTGATGATCTGCTCAGGTCTCTTCCGACCCTACCAACTGTGAAACTAAGTGGTTCATCTGGGGGGTGCGCACATCCCCAGGGGAGGCATGGGGGGCATGTGCCCCCCAGATCTGTGCACATAGTGAAGGGCTGGGACTGTGGGCAGTGCCGGGCTCTTCCCAGCAGTGGAGGGAGGGGTTGGGTCAGGGCTGTGCTTGGGGTGGGTGGTGGTGGCAGTGTGGGGAAGGCGGGTGGGGGGGGGCTACAGCAAATTTTGGGGTGATTAGCCCACTGCATAGCCCCCCTACAAGCGCCACTGCCACCCAACCCGAGCGCAGCCCTGGCCCAACTCCCCCACTGAGAAGAGCCTGGCCCCAGCCCCAGCCTGCAGAAGCAGCCTGCCCTCACCCTGCACACAGATCAGGGGGCACATGCCCCCCCCCAGGGGTGCGCACAGTGGTGGGAGCCACCCCCCTCCTTGCACTTCCCAAACAAAACACTCAGGGCTCTGCCCCATGTCCTGTCCTGCCCTGCCCTGGCTGGGCAGCGCCTGCCTCTGTCCCAACCCTAGCTCCTGCTCCACTCCATCCCTCACCATGGGAGCCTCGATATGTACCCCCCCATGCCCCTTTCCCCCAACAGACTTACCAGGCGGGTGCTGCTGTCCAAGCTGCCAGGCTTGCATATCAGCAATCAGATTTGTATCGGCTGATATGGCTCATTAATGATATGGCCATCAGCAGGGCTGTCCCTGTGGGGGGCAAATCAAGGCAACCACCCCAGGCCCCATGCTTTGGAGGGCCCCACGGAGCCAGGTGGAGTGACATGGCAACTCTGCACTGCCGCCAGCTTCACCTGATTTGCCCTGGGCCCCACATCCTGCTCAGATCATCTCTGGCCATCGGTATTGGTAGAAATATCTCAAAATGTCCATTGCTAGAAATGAATACCTGTTCAAGACCTAAATGTTTTTGCCAAAAATTTCCAACTTACATGATGCCTAAGTCAGAATTTGGGTTCTACCACACCCATGCTTGGGCTTTATTTTCAGCAACTGTCAAGCTGGTCCCTACTTTTGAATGTGTCACTGACTTCAAGGGCATAGACCCACACAGCCAACACATGCACATATACTAAATACTTGAGTTCACAACTTGTGTGAGCAACCATTTTTGCATGCACAACCATGTGTGTGTAGAAAATGGGTGTAAAAAGTTTGAGGTTTGAGACTTTTTGCCCTCAAGATCTGTTCTCCTACTATGGTTTGGGAGATTTACTCAGATAAATCTCATAAATTCAAATGATAGTTACATGAATCAGTGAGCAGACAGACTCCAGTAGCAGTAGTCCTTTTGAATTTGTAGTATAAAACTGTCTGTGAAGAAAGGGGAGGCAATTGTTTTAAGCTTGCACTACACCCACATTGTTCTTTCCAAAATGAACAATAAATTAAAACGAATACCTCTTTGTAAAGAGAAGCATTTTTTCAAAATTCTACTCTGTAGTATTCCCTTGTGCCAAAGGCCTTCCAAGTCACTATAACCGCAGTAGACTCTGCTGTGTGCTGGCATGGAGGGTAGAAATTAAATCCAGGAAGTAGGAAAAATAAGTAGATGAAGAGTATTTTGAAATATGACACAGTGAATTAACAGATAACAGTTCTTGCATGACTGTAACTCATTCTTTCCCCGGGTGCTCTTTCTAGTTGCTGCTTTTCATGTGTATATGTGCTATATGAAGCATCAAAGTATCAAAAACTGAAAATATATTCCTTACAAGTGAGTTAAACTATAGCAAGGAATAAAAAGAGAATCCACTGAATTCTTTTTAGGGATTTCCTTTCATTTAATGCAAGTATTTTAATTTTTTCTGTCTTTATACATGGTTTATCCTACAATCTTGTCCTCAGATAACCATTTCTTAACTAGAATGACACAAAATTTTGAAGCCAGTGATCCATGACTTTAAATATTTGGAAGGGCTATTGATTCAGTGAACTGGAAAAAATTAAAGATGTTGAGGCATAGTTTCCAAAATAGCTATACATATATATTGCAATGTATATTTGATCTTACATATTCTGTTTACCTTTTAAAGGATAAAGATGAGATGTGTATAATAAAGCATTCAATTTATTTGTGATTAGGCTTTGACTAAACAGTGGGTCCCTGCTGGAAATGTAGCTAGATGTAGTATTAAAGAAAAAGCTGCTTTTACCTAAAATATCTCCCATTTTTCCCATGTTGTATTCCTCACTGTGCACCTATTTCTGTTTGCATTAGTCAGTCTCTCTAAGTAAATTGTCCATAAGACCAATGATTCCATCAGCAAATTATCCAGAAAATGTTGTCACTGCACATTGTGACATTTGTGCCACTGGTGGATTTGCTACTATTCCAGTGGTCTAATTAACCTGGCAGTAATCTCCTGTGCCCAACATAGTCATCTCATTTTCCTTGGCACCTTCTTTCAAACCTTCTTGCCCCCCTCCCTTTAACTGAATATCGCATTTACTATCTATTTTTTTCCCCTCACCCTTCTCCCCACTGCCACCAACTTTTCTTTTTCTTTTTGATTGGCAGTATCATCCAGATAAACAGAGCGCAGATGTGCCAGCAGGAGAAGTGGAGGAGCGTGTGCAGAGGTTCATCGAAATTGATCAAGCGTGGAAAATTCTAGGGAATGAAGAGACAAAAAAAGAGTATGACCTGCAGCGGCGTGGTAGGTTCCTGCCAAGGAGTGCTGTAGTGGCAGCAGCTCTGTAAAACAAGGGCTGGAGTAGTAGTTAGATGGTATTTTAAAATGCTATTTGTTTTTGCAATAAAATGTTCTCTTCCCTTGTCCTACTTTCATTTTCTGGATACATTGTTTATATTGATTAGGACAGATAATTAGCCAGTAAAGAATACTAAATTACTTCTAACAAAATATTAGGTGGCATTACTTCTAATAATTTTAATGAATATGGAATTTAGACTGCATTTACAGTCATTATAGATGATATTAAAGCAGCTTCAGTAAATTATCTTAATGATTTCAAGTAGTGCCCTATGCTACATTTTGTTGCAGCATTTTAGGCATACGTTTTGAGTAATTTACTTCTAAGGTCCAGTATAATGTATGGTTTTATGAGCATTTCAAAATCATCATACATCTTTTTTTTTCCCTAAGAAGCATGTGTTTTGTTTTAGGGCAGCTTTCATAATTCATCTCTAGTTTAAGCTACTCTTTATGAAGCAGGTTTATAAATAATATTTCAGTAAAACACATTAACTAGGCAGCTCCAGCATGCATTTCTTTTTATACATCTCAGAAAATAGCTTCTTAAAACAGCGACAGGCTGTTGTGAGAAAGAAAGGGGGAAATGTAGGTCAGGTCTGTCACACATGGGCTACCATTACATGAAGTGATAGGCTGTCTTTCTGCTCTGGCCTCAGGATAGGAGTCCCTCAGCCTTCCATTAGAACCTTCAATAAATGTATATCCACCCTACATGTTAATGGGGGGAGTCAATAATAGTGTATTGCCTGTGGGGAAAACACTCAGTCACTCTCTGCAGTAACACACTCTGGTCCAGCATTGACGTGTAGCCACCACCACTTTTGAATGTGTCTGATAAAAGCCCACTGTCTCTGCAGCTTGTTATTGAATTTCCTTCCATTGTACACTGGCACACCATCAAACCTTTTTCTTTTGCGTTGATTTCAACTCCCCTGCTGCTAAGGTTACCAGAACTTTATTTGAGAAACAAAGGCTTAGTCATAGTAGCAGATATACATCATTGTAAGATTAGAAGAATGATATACATGTTTATTTTCAGCATGAATTACAATATACGTAAATATGTGGGTTTTTTCAGACTGTGCAGGTACAGGGCTGACAGGTACAATTTTAAAAATTAGAATAATTGAACAGATGGTTTCCAATTGTCTTTGTGTACATATATTGCACTTTTTTTTTTATTTAGCTGTGCTTACGTTGAAATGACCTATTATCCCAGCACTGGCATTAAAAACATCTGATTTAACTCCCAAATACAAGTTTCTCATGTCTTCCTCCAACTTGAGTGCTTTGTGGTTTTACAGCACAGATTCTGTATCAACCATTCCAGAAACTACTGGGTCCTTAGCTGTGATAACATAAATGACTATTTCAGCTGTTAACCTTAAAGTGTGTGATAGTTTAAGTTTAAAGCCTAATTGCTGAACACAGAGTTTAAAAACGGTGGAGCAAATAAATCCAATAAAGTTGATACAATTATATAAAAAATGAATATAACCTATTTTTGTCCTCCATTGATGGCAAGAGATACCATTTGATTTTAAGTGAGGTTTTGTTTTAATTCTTGCAAAGGTGCTTTGAAGGTATATAAATGTGTTCTGAGACTCTTGCATATGGAGGAGTTGTTCTAAATTGCTATTTCTGGAGACTGCAAGAACACTTAAGAAAGAAAAGCAATTTGTATATCCATAATTCACATGGATCTGGATAAGTCTTTGGCACTCGGTTGTATCTTGTGAAAGTGGTATTTTAAGGCATAAGGCCCTTTTTACACAAGACTAGAGTGAATCATCTAAACTGGTGAATCACGTTTACCTATACTTTAACTCTGGATGTTAATTTTCAGCATAAATTACAATATACTGAAATGCCTATGCAGTGTGCTTCAGCAGTCATGATTCTAGTCGGTTTCATTAAGGCTGCTGCTAAAGCATACAGAAACAAAGGGGAACGGAACCGGTGCAATAGGTGAAAACCGATAAGAGCTCACAAAGCAGGGGGCAGGGATAGTGTTCTGAAGGACAGGGGATGGGATTTTGGTGATACAAATGTATGTATGCATGTGTGTGTGCATGAGACAGAGAGTAGGAAAAAGATTTGTTTGCACCATGATCTTTTCCTGTGCAAGACTGTGTGCACCTGTGTGTGCAGTCTTACTCTGTAGTGTTTTAATTCTTAATGTCTTCAGCTCAGAAGTTTGCTGGCAAGTAGATTACCTGAGAGGCAATCCATGTGCCTGGTTGTAATGCGTGGGGGTTTTTTCTTTTTGAGCCGTTGTGGTTTAACAAGTAAGTATGTTTTCACATTTTAATGCTTGTTTCCTCTGGAGGTATCACAAGAAATCTTCTATGCCCTGAGGACATAGGTACTAATGAGCAATGGACAAACCTCAAAGGATTTAGAGGTTTGGCTCATGTACTTATCCAAACCTTTTTGGTCTGGAAATCTTACAAGAACTGCCTTTTTAATGTGTGTTAAGAAAATTTGTCTAGCTCCTTGTTATGCTAAGCTGGGAATTAATTAAGAATCTTTTTCATAGACTTAAATATTTTATTTCCAGTCCCTTATCTGTAGCCTGAAGGCAGGAAAAAAAATCATAGTTTACCTATTGAAAAGGAACTTTTTTTTCTCAGTTTGGTTTGAGATATGGCCATGTCTGATTGTAATTTCTAGAAAAACTACATACTACATAAACTGAAAATAAAATTACATATATAGTTAGTTGAAGTCAATCTGGCAGTAATAATTGCCAAATTTTTACTGAGGGACTGAGGCGTTAATTCAGAAACAGACCTAACCATTTTTTAGATTCTTATATGAGGTTGTCTGTGCCCTCAGAGTTCATGACCTCATTGCATTTTAGCAGAATAAAGCAGAATAAATTAATTTTGTGTATTTTATGGACTTTATTAAAAAAAAGTATAAGCAAGCATATGTCTACTTAATACAAGCTAATATACTAACAGTAAAGATGGAATAATAAAACATTAAAGTAGAGGTGCACTGGTATATTGGTTGCACTGATAAAGTGACATCAACTTTTTTTGGCCATCATAGCCGATAATGTTTACCAATAATTATGCCTTCTGGCCAGGGCCCTGAACACCTGGGTTCCCTTTTCCCCATGGGGCCAGAGCTCCCAGATGCTTGGTTTCCCTCAACAAATGGTGAGTTTCCCCTTGTCCGCCTGGCAGCTGTGGGGGTGGCGAGTTGTGCCTCTTGCTGCCAAGCTGCTCATTCGATGAGCTTTAGCTCAAGCACCCCTGCCACCAGGACACTGAGTGCTTAAGCACTAGGACACTGAATGATGCGATGCAAGAGGCTGCTGGAACATGCCAAAAACAGAAAAAAGGGCCCTTTATGTCAGTACTTTAAAATGCCTTGCATTATTACTAAATATCGGTTATCACATTGTCATCGGCCCATATGGCTGGTTAATAATTGGCTATAAGCATCGGTCAAGAAAATCTTTATCAGTGGAGCCTTACATTGAAGTCATCATTAAGAATTAATAGATCAATGCATTTGACTGATTAAAGCACAAAACTAATGCAGCTTGTAATCCAGGTCATGAAATCAAAGATAAATTATTTTGGGTTAATTTTACCTTGGGAAAATTTAAGAAAACAGTTTTCTTCAGTCAAAGACTCTAACCAGGACTCTGACCAACATAGGTAACGTACCTCAGGGATGGAAGTGTTGTTAAGAATTAAGGGCCAGATCATCATGCTGGTGTGGATGGCTTTGCTGATAAACCCAAGTCTTTTACCTCTTCTTCTTTCAGAGAGGATTGCCACAAAGAGGGAGAAGCATATGGATTCAGATATTATGGATGCATGAGAAAGCAGTAGAACCTATGCCTTCTACATGTTCTTTGCTTTGGTAGGGATCATTTCCCATTTGTGGCTTTTAAGTGTCTTACCTGAATCCAAGTGTTCAAGGTCCTCTCATACAGGGCAGTCTTTTAGGCCTTAGGTCAGGCTGGACAGTTCTGTCATCAAATGATCTGTGCTTCTGCCAGGTTTGCTACACTGAACCAGATCAGATGTTCTTCCAGAATCCAAGATGTTCATGACAGAAAAACCCTTGGGCTGAGGTAGCAGACATGAGAACCACAAATAGTAAAAGTAATCTTTTTGAGAATATCTAATCATCTACCCATCTCTCCATGTTTGCATTCTCCTTCTAGCATTTACTTCAGTTTCATCAGCATTTATTAAAATGTTCTGAACTTTTCATTTGCAAAAAATTGGGCATCTTCTACCTTACTCTGTTGGCTTTTGACCCCACAACAGTAGCTACTTTTATATTTTCACCAAATAAAGTTTTGTTGTAATGAAAACTTTCCCAGCCCAACTCATATTTGGGCCTATGTTTCTCACATTGCCGTTTGCTGGTTTATAGGCAATGGCTTTGATGAGCCTCATGGATGTGTCTATATTGGTGGTGCTTAACCTTCAGGCGGCAGGCCAGATCTAGGTCACAAAGTCATGTAATCTGGCCCAGGGGTCTCCCCATGGGTTTGAAAATTTGGTTGGGTAGTGGTGGAAGCATTAATTGCAGCTCCATTGCTGCCAAATTTTGAGACCTGTGGGAGCCTTTTTGGCTAGATGATGTGGCCCTGCATACTAGATTGCATTGGTATGTGGCAAGGTCACTCCAGAGCTGAATCTGGTGTTCATGCAATCTGCTTGGCATGCCAGATTGCACCTGTGGCCCAACCCTGCGTGCCAGCCCTGCATTGGATCAGGCCCATGGACTTGTCTGCAAACTGACCTTGAACCACTCACCCAGCTATGGGACTGGAAAGTTGAACACCACTGATCTATATCACAATACACATGGCACACTTAGACTGTGCCTTTTGGAAGTAGCTTTTCCAAACTCACTTTGTAGTATTTCCAAACTCACTCTACTTCCCATTACCTCTTTCAGGTGCT